TTGAATTCCTCCTTCAATACTGGCAGTAATACTGCAGATCGTCACTAGGAGGCGAGGAGTCGAGGAACCGAGATAGCGTGATGTGTAAACGGTCGTCAGAACCGAGCTCGGCCTGGTTAACTGATCCAAGCTCGGACCGGTCTCGACATGGATCGGTTTTTCAAGGGTCGTGTAAAGGGGGTATTCATTTGTACTATAGGGCTAACTGATACAAATTAGTCACATTAGCAAAAATACTTGTGTTTTATCACAACTTTCAAAAGTCTGAGTTGGGTCTTGAACCAACAACCTCAGGAGTGAAAGTCTATCCACATTTTGATCATCACATTGTTTAATCTAATCAAACTAGGTTTAACCAACTAGACTAGAGTCTATCCTAACTCTATCCGACTCTCCTCCAAACTCCCACATCATGACTGAATCCTGGTTCTGTTTAAATGCGTGTCAAAGTTCCGGGCGAGCTGAACATGGTATTGCGGGGTAGCAAGGCTTCGGGCGTAATCTATTTAAGCTTGTCCCCAAAATGAAACGCCCCCTCCCCTACTCGACACGCGCGTCGAAGCCTTGGCTCATCTCATGACATCACCAGCCACGGTACATTGAGCCTCTGCATCCATTTAATCAGCTTCCAGTCAACCATGAAGAAACGTTAAAGGTCACCTACTTGTCTTTCCGCTGTCTTCCTGCCGTATTCCCTCTACGTCAGGGTAGACTGGAACCACAGCCACTTTGTAGAGTGTGTCAGCTTCCAGATTTCTCAGGATGGTGGTCGTGGTTCCACCTGAAACCTCTTCCTGTTCAATATAAGATCAGTTACATCAGATTTGTTCCAGATGGAAAAAAAAAACAGTGTCTCTTTAAATATCATCAGGCTGGATGTTCATACACTGATAAGAATAAATAAAGGGAAAACTGAAATAAAATCTTAGATCTGAATGAATGAATGAAATACTCTCATTGAATATTCACATATAAAGCCTTAAATGGCCAAGCTCCATCTGATACCAGAGATCTGATTGTTCCTTATGTTCCTAACACACCTGAATCAAATAATGAGATGATTGAGANTAAGCCTTAAATGGCCAAGCTCCATCTGATACCAGAGATCTGATTGTTCCTTATGTTCCTAACACACCTGAATCAAATAATGAGATGATTGAGAGGAGTCTGGAGGAACTGACGGCACACTAGGGAGGCAACTAAGCCATTTGTTGGACTAAAAGTTGCAGGATACCGGACAGTCTGTGGTGTAATGTGACCGTGGTGGATGGATCGAGACACCATGTTCAATCGGTTTCAGGTCTGGCGAATGGCGGGGCCGGTCCATAGCTTCAATGCCTCCATCTTGCTGGAACTGCTGACATACTCCAGCTACATGAGGTCTAGCATTGTCCTGCATTAGGAGGAACAACGAGCCAACTGCACCAGCATGTTGTTTCACAAGGGGTCAGCGGACCCCTCATCTCTGTACCTAATGGCAGTCAGGCCACCTCTGGTCAGTTGGAACCTGTCTTCATCTGTGAAGAGCACAGGGCACCCGTGGATTTCCAAAAAAGTTAAAAAAACAATCCACTAGACTTTGTTTCCAAGTTTGAAGATATTTCTCTTCCATCCAGGAAGTTTTTTCAATTGAAATGTCAGAAAAAGTGTTGAGTTCTAGGTTTTATACAGCGGACCAAAAGAGAGATAGAAAATATGCAAATTGAACTGGACCAATGGGTCCGCCCCTTAGGAAACGGCAGTCATTGGGTTCTTTGTTAGCCTGCAGTAACCGATACCCGGTGCCAGTGGAGAATTAGCCAATCCTGGTGTTCTCTGAAAAATGCCAAGCATGCTGCAAGCTGTTGGGCTGTGAGCACGACCCCCATCTGTGGATGTTGGGCCCTCATACCATCCTCATGGAGTCAGTTTCTAACCTTTTGTGAAGACATATGCACATTAGTGGCCTGCTGGAGGTCATTTTGTAGGCCTCGGGGAGTGCTCCTCCTGTTCCTCCTTTCTCAAAAGAAGAGGTAGCGGCGCTGCTACTTTTGGACACTACGCTAACAGACACAGCTAACCTTCTAGCCAGCGCTTCCATTGATGTGCCATCCAGGATGAGCTGCTCTACCTGAGCCACTTGTGTGGGTTGTAGAGTCTGTCTCATGCTACCATGAGTCTGAAAGCACCGCCAACATTCAAGAGTGACCAAAACATCAGCCAGAAAGCAGAAGGACCGATGGGTGACCTGTGGTCCCCACCTGAAGAACCAATCCTTTATTGACTGGGTCTTGCTAATTGCCAATAATTTCCACCTGTTGCACGACAGCATGTGGAATTGATTGTCAGTCAGTGTTGCTTCCTAAGCGGACCGTTTGATTTCATATTGTGTTGTTTTACGTGTTCCC